TTAGACAAGACAGCGCAAGAAATAATTGGAACGGCTGCAAAACAAGCCGATGCGTGGAATGAAACGTTGACCCAACACGGCAACCAGCACAGCGAGCTGAAGCGTGACAGCCAAGGGCGAATGGCCCCTGAATCACCAGAGCGGTGAAGGCAGTGAAGCGCAAGGAAATACGCTGCTAGGCAGATTGGTCGTGTCCATCCTGTCGGCCAGGCGAGGCAAATTGGTAAGATGTGGACTTATAGACAAGCAACGCCAGATGACCGCCGTGTAGGGCGCAGGAGGGCCATCGGCGGAAAACACACACACATGCGCGCAGCGACAGTGCGTAGATGGTCGAAAAGCAGCAAAGGCGCGCGCGATTAAGCCCGCCTGGGCACTCAGAGACCACTTAGGGACAAACACACAAACTGTTCATTCCCCATTCAGAGCTTGCCTCTGTAGGGGTCCTAGCGGATTCATATGATTAGGTTCGGTTTGTCGCCGATTTTCGCTGCACGCCCGGGTGCCCGGGTGCCGAGGGGTGCCCAGGGCCCGGGTGCCCAGGGGGTGCCCGGGGGTGCCCGGGTGCCCGGGTGCCTGGGTGCCCGGGCATGTCCGGGGGTGCCCGGTGGTGCCCCATAGCCCTATAGCCTTAAGCCCTATAGCCCTGTAGCCCTATAGCCCTATAGCACAATAGCCCTATAGCCCTATAGCCCTACAACTCCATAGCCCTATAGCTCCATAGCCCTATAGCTCAATAGCCCTATAACCCTATATAGTCCACTAGCCCTATAGCCCTGATTGGGTTGTTCTCGGGTATCATATATATATATATATACATATGATACCAGAGAAAAGCCCAATCATAATCTTTTTAGGGCTGTAGGGCGATAGGGCGATATGGGCTATAGGGCTATTGGGGTATAGGGCTATAGAGCTGTAGGGCTATACGGCTATAGGGCTATAGGGCTATTGAGCTACAGGGCTATAGGGCCCTGCAGCTATAGAGCTGCAGGGCTATAGAGCTATATGGTTCTTGGGCTATAGGGCTATAGGGCTATAAAGCCCCCCCGGGCACCCGGGCACCTCCGGGCACGCCAGGGCACCCAGGCACCCGGGCACCCGGGCACCCCCGGGCACCCGGGCACCTGGGCGTGCAGCGAAAATCGGCGACAAGCCTAACCTAACCATATGAATCCGCTAGGACCCCCACAGAGGCAAGCTCTGGTTGGGGAACATATACACACACGCACTAGTGTAGCGTGGCGGCTACGCGCGCGGCGGCGGTCAAGTCGGGCGGACGCGCGGGCCGGCCCAGCTCACGCAGCGTGGAGAAGCTGGATCCACCCATAGGGGAACACACACACACACACACACATTCGAGCTCCTCTGGAACTCTTGGGGGCCGCGCGGCCAGCAGTCACTGGGAGGCACTCAAAGCGCTCGGAGGCCCTCCTAACGGCCTCTGGAGGCCCTGTGGATGGCGACTCTGAAGGGTCAAAGGGTGTGGTTTGCACCCGGCGCCTGGGGAGGCGGGGGAGGATCTCGACAGAGACCTGTGCCGCACCCCGGCGAGGGCTCATCACACCTCTGGCGCAACGCGGGGTGACCCCTAAGCCCCAACGGCGCCGATCGCAGACCATATCCTGGCGTACGGCCGGACCTGGGACAGAAGAACATCCTCGAACATGAGACCCTCCGCCAGCCAAACTGAAGAACATTCGAGGGTACCCTCCCCCAGGATGCACAAGCACATCCAACAAACACGAAGATTAGGGCATCCTCTCCGAACCGACCTCGATCTTAAACCTCGATCCGACCGTACGACGGCAGGCCTCGCGTGGGGGCGGCCGGTGCCGCCTCAGCTCAGTATTTCCAACGTTGGGTGGGTTGCACACAGCGAGTTGGTGCCTGACAAGCTCCACGCTTTCCATCCCTGGGTGGGATGCAAACGGCGAGCTGTTGCCAGGTGTGGACCCACTATCTCCATATGAGCACCGTGAATTGCTGGTGTTTGATCGGCGCCGCCGATTGCAGTCGCCGATCGGATGCCGGCGGTGTCTCTGGGAGGCATGCAGCAGCGCTCACGAGCCTTCCCCTGAGATCCCGCGCTGCGAAAAAATTGCAACACCGCGCAGAATCACGACCAGAACTCTAGACCCCATTTTTCTGCGCAATTTTGCGAACTGGATCGATCTGCGAGGGCCCCGGGATCCGAAGCTGGGCGAAAAAACGCCCGGCTCGAACAGTGCAACGCCAGAATCTCAGGGTCGGAGACCCTCTGGATGCCCTGTGGCTGACGCCTCCCCTATCCCCAAAGATCCGATGTCGTGATTTTTTCAACACGGGGTCCCCAGAAGCCTCGACCCATTCCCCAGGACCAGTTTTTCATCCTGCATCATTTTTGTTGCAGTCCCCGGGCCTGGTAAGGGCCCATACGGTTAGGTCGGGCGTGTCCCCCTACAGGTGGGTTTTGAGCGAAAAAAAAACAATATATATATATATATATATATATATATAATATATATACCAGATGCTCAAAAATACTTGCTAAAAAATCGCCCGACTCTGTTTGAACTAGTTTTGAATATTCCTCCTGTAGAGGGACACGCCCGACTCAACCCTAAGGGCCGAAAGCTGCAAAAAACCTCCGCCTCCCGCAGACGACGCACTTCCAGACAACCGGGCGCGCAGCTACGTTCGTAATGGTGGACAGGGATCATGACATTTGCTGTTGTTCCTTATCCTCAGAGAGGGTCTGAGACGGCAGGATAGTGGGGAGGTTTAGCAGTTAGGCTAGAGGCCTCCAAGATGGGGTCGGAGTAGATGGGGTCGCATCGCCGATACATCGGCGATACATCGCCGATGCATCGGCGACATCGGCGACGCATTGGCGACTCCAGCGTGGAGAAAATCGGGCTCCACATCGAGCCGCATCGCCGATGCATCGACGATACGGCGCGATCCTCCGACCCCACCTACTCTTGGAGGCCTGGAAATTGGCACCAACACCAACACAGGGGGTTGCCTCCACAGTGGGAAGATGATCCTAGATTTTCGGTGTTGGTGGTAATATTTCGGTCACCTTGGCAGCCAGAATATTACCACCATCACCGAGATCGGGATCTTCTTCCCTCGGTGGAGGCACACCGCCGATATTGGTGTTGGTGTCAACCTCTAGGCCTGCGATCCTAGGAGGCCCAGACAGGCGCACCATTCTACAGTGGATGCGGCCGTGCTGCCCCGGAGCCAGCCGCGCAGCGCACCGCTCCCCCTTCGAGAGCCCACGGCGCTCAGGGTGATGTGGATGGAGCAGGAGCCCTGACGAGGAGGCCTCTGCATCGGCGCTACGAAGGTTTTGGCCCGCGTCGTGCTTGCTGGGACGCACAAAGACACACTGGTACAATGTGTTCCCCTCGGAGGCGCGCGTCCGACCAAAACATATAGTATACCCATCTTGTAGTAGATCGTTTCCCGAGCGGTGTGGCCAGAAAGCGCCCGCCACGACGCATATACTATAAGATTTCTCGGTGCGCGCATCGCCCCCGGGGGCGCGACGCACATATAGTATAACTATGTTGGGGTGACGCCGACTTGCTTCCACCACGACACGCCTTAGGCGGGAGCGTTCGGGTTTTGTTCCTCCGTCGTGATTTCTCCAGTGCGCGTAAGTCGGGCGTGTCCCCCTACAGGGGGATTCTGGGCGAAAAATAAAGAATGCTCCAAACAAAGCCTCCAAATGGGCAGAAGCAGTCAAAAAACCCTCCCCAGACTATGTTTTGCACCTTTTGGAACTTCCCGTCGAGGGACAGGCCCGACTCACGAGCACGCTGGAGCTCTGGGTCCATGGGAGGCCCCTCGGCCCTCGCGGGGAGGCCCCGCGGGAAGCCCCCCCGACCCCCCTCAGGAGGGAAAGAAACACACAGACACAATTAATCTTCGATGTCCAGGAAAATATGGAAAAATATGGGAAGTGGGGGGAAGACAAAAAAATCCAGAAACTATGGGGAAATATGGGGAACCCTTTTATTTGTGTGTATCTATTTGTGTGGTCCAGTTCCCTTTCACCCCCTGGGGCCGGAGGCCCTCTGCGGAGGCCCCTCCGCGGAGGCCCTCCACGGCCGAGCCGCCCCTCCGCCCGGCGGCGGGCCCTGGGGGCGCACGAAGAATCGTGGCGGGTACCCCCATCAGGGCGCGGCGCGGGGGGCGCGGGGGGAGGGGGGAGGGGGGGGGGGGGGAGGGGGGCGCGGGGGGGGGGGGGGGGGGGGGGGGGGGGGGAGGGGCAAGCTAGGTGCGCTCGCGTCATATCTGACGTCCTACCCCTCCCTCCCATCCCTTACCATGGCGCTGATTTTCTCTATCCGCGGACGCGTGTCGTAGCGGACCTGTGGCTCCGCGCGCGCGTGCGTAGTGGGTGGTGGTGCGCGTGCGTGCGTGCGTGTGTGCGTGGTTGTGGTGGTGGTGGTGGTGGTCGTGGTGTGGTGGTGGTGGTGGTGGTGGTGGTGGTGGTGGTGGTGGTGGTGGTGGTGGGTGGTGGTGGGTGGTGGTGGTGGTGGGTGGTGGTGGTGGTGGTGGTGTGGTGGTGGTGGTGGTGGTGGTGGTGGTGGTGGTGGTGGTGGTGGTGGTGGTGGTGCTGGTGGTGGTGGTGGTGGTGGCGGGCGGATGGGCGCGCGAGAAAGAGGCCCGCGCTGGGGCGAGAACGCCATCCTGAACGACGGAGGCCAAGCACCGATCCGAAAATGAGGCCCACGCTGCAGCGGGAGCACGATTCGGAACGATTCGGGAGCAGAAATGAGGCCGGCGCCTCAGCGAGAGCAGCATTTTGAACAAAAACGTAGGCGAAAACCCGTTTCCCGGGAATCCTGTGTAAAAAAACAGTACGCGGGGGGGGTCGGATATCTTCGGGACGCCATCAGGGGAAGTGGGAGAGTATTTTCATATTGTGTAATTGTGGAGGGGGGCGCGGGGGGAGGGGGGGGGAGAGGGGAGGAGGGGGGGCGCGGCGGCAGGGCTCGAGCCGAGTAGCGCTCTCTCTCGGGCGACGGCGGGCCTGACAAACCACCCCAGCCCGACCCAGGGACCCGGGATTTCGGGTTCGGGGGGGGGGGGACGGGCTTCGTGTTTTCTGTTCAGTGTTCCCCGAGCCCCCACCCAGCACTGGAAATGGAGGGCAGATCGGGGCCTTCGGGTTGAGCTGGGGTGGCCTGGTGGGCGGTGAAGGACTGGATTTCGCGGGACCTGGTTTGGTGATCTGTACCGGGGACGCCCCCCCGTCCCATTCCACGAACCCGAACTGCCGTCACCCGAAAAGCACCAGCTACGGCAGACCTGGTTTGGCGATTCGAATCCACATTTTGGGCTTCGGGGCCCAATCACCAACAGGCTCCCCTTGACCGGGGTCCTGCCTATACCCGACTCTTCGCTGTCGGTTTGCTTTCGGTTTCCTTCGTTCTGTCTTGCTTCTGCCTCTATACACACAGGTCCCAGGATTCCCCACACGCCTCCATACTTTCTGGGCCCTCGCCTTCCCCCCCCACCACCACTGCCCATGGCTTCCCATTTATTCCGGGGAATCGACGATGAGTCGTAACTATCTCTCTGTGTGTGTTCTCCCCTTCCTGATCTGCTGCCGAAACGAAACGAAGCCGGCAACGGCCCACGAGAAATCGCCACAGACCGCCGCGGGCTGCGCTCGAGGAGCCCTGGCGGCGCGGGGGGCGCGGGGCGGCGCGCCTCCGTGCGCGGAGAGGTTGAAGTTCTGCTTCCGGAAGCAGGGGATGCCGCTGGACGTGAAGGACGCGACGGCCATGGGCATGGGACCCCGGGGGGGAGGGGTGCCGCATGCGGCCGCCTGGCCCACAGCGGAGGCCCACGCCAAGAAACGCCCTTCCTCGCCTCCAGGGTGCCCTGGGTTCCTTGGGTCTCGATGGTCTTGCGACGGAAGGCGCGGCGCTGCCACACAACAAACAGATCAGTGGACATCCTGGGGTCTCAGGGTTCGGCTTCTTGTGGAAGGTTTCTTGTGGACTGGCCTCCACTGTACCCCCTCAAACGGCCGGGAACTGTTGGTCAGCGTCTCGCCGCGGCGGCCCAAGCGACGCGCTGTGCCCCGCGCGGGGATGGCTCGTGGATCCGCCTCGCGGGGCGGGAGGCTCGGGGGAGCTCGGGGCGCTGACGGGACCGCGGAGTGGCCAGCGCGTCGCGCCGAAGCGTGATGGACCAGAGCTGGCGGAGCGGCACGCGATCCAGAAGTTCCCGACCGTACTCCAAAGCGAGCAAGAATCTGCCGCATGACTGCCCCGACGCCCAAAGGAGGAGGGAGAGGAGGGGGGAAGGAGAATTAGGAGAGAGGAGGAGGAGGAGGAGGAGGAGGAGGAGGAGGAGGAGGGCGAGGAGGAGCAGGAGGAGGAGGAGGAGAGAGGAGGAGGAGAGGAGGAGGAGGAGGAGGAAAAGGAGGAGGAGAGGAGGAAGAAGAAGAAGAAGAAGAGGAGGAGGAGGAGGAGGAGGAGGAGGAGGAGGAAGGAGAAGGAGGAGGAGGAGGAGACAAGAGAGAGGAGGAGGAGGAGGAGGAGGAGGAGGAGGAGGAGAGGAGGAGGAGGAGAGAGAGAGAAGGAGAGAGGAGAGAGGAGAGAGGGAGAGGAGAGAGAGGAGGAGGAGGAGGAGGAGGGAGGAGGAGGAGGGAGGAGGCAGGAGGAGGAGGAGGGAGGAGAGAGGAGAGAGAGAGAGGAGGAGGAGGAGGGGAGAGGCGGAGGAGGAGGAGGAGGAGGAAGGAGAAGGAGGAGGAGGAGGAGGAGGAGGACGAGGAGAGAGGAGAGAGGAGAAGGAGGAGAAGGAGGAGGAGGAGGAGGAAGAGGAGGATCCCCACAGGTGGGATGGATGCCGCTTCCGTCGGGCTTCGCGGAAGGCCCTCCCCACCCCGAGGGCTAGGCTGGTGGCCCCGAGGGGCCCTGGCCCACTGGGGCTGAGGACAGGCCGGCCGGTGCTGCCCCTGGAGTTAAGTCGGGCATGTCCCCCTACAGGATGTTCGAGAAGATTGTCAAACAAATATCCAGGCAAAGCAACCTAACAGCGATGTGTAGGAGCATATCTGGAAGCATTCTCCTTAAGATTCAGATAAGAATCCAGTTGTAGAATTCTGCTGTTCTCGCAGTCATAGTCGCATTCGCGATGACAGTCGCAGTGGCAACGGCAGTCGCAGTCACAGCCTCAGCCTCAGCCTGCCTCAGCCTCAGCCTCAGCCTGCCTCAGCCTCAGCCTGCCTCAGCCTCAGCCTCAGCCTGCTTCAGCCTCAGCATCAGTCTGCCTTCAGCCTCGGCCTCAGCCTCAGCCTGCCTCAGCCTCAGCCTGCATCAGCCTCAGCCTCAGCCTCAGCCTGCCTCAGCATCAGCCTGCCTCAGCCTCAGCCTCAGCCTCAGCCTGCCTCTGCCTCAGCCTCAGCCTGCTTCAGCCTCAGCCTCAGTCTTCCTCGGCCTCGGCCTCAGCCTCAGCCTGCCTCAGCCTCAGCCTGCATCAGCCTCAGCCTCAGCCTCAGCCTGCCTCAGCATCAGCCTGCAGCCTCAGCCTCAGCCTCAGCCTCAGCCTCAGCTTTCTCAGCCTCAGCCTGCAGCCTCGGCCTCAGCCTCAGCCTCAGCCTGCCTCAGCCTCAGCCTGCATCAGCCTCAGCCTCAGCCTCAGCCTGCCTCAGCATCAGCCTGCCTCAGCCTCAGCCTGCCTCAGCCTCAGCCTGCTTCAGCCTCAGCCTCAGTCTGCCTTCAGCCTCGGCCTCAGCCTCAGCCTGCCTCAGCCTCAGCCTGCCTCAGCCTCAGCCTCAGCCTCAGCCTGCCTCAGCATCAGCCTGCCTCAGCCTCAGCCTCAGCTGCCTCAGCCTCAGCCTCAGCCTGCTTCAGCCTCAGCCTCAGTCTGCCTTCAGCCTCGGCCTCAGCCTCAGCCTGCCTCAGCCTCAGCCTGCATCAGCCTCAGCCTCAGCCTCAGCCTGCCTCAGCATCAGCCTGCCTCAGCCTCAGCCTCAGCCTGCCTCAGCCTCAGCCTCAGCTGCTTCAGCCTCAGCCTCAGTCTGCCTTCAGCCTCGGCCTCAGCCTCAGCCTGCCTCAGCCTCAGCCTCAGCCTCAGCCTCAGCCTCAGCCTCAGCCTCAGCCTCAGCATCTGCCTCAGCCTCAGCCTCAGCCTGCCTCAGCCTCAGCCTCAGCCTCAGCCTGCTCAGCCTCAGCCTCAGTCTGCCTTCAGCCTCGGCCTCAGCCTCAGCCTGCCTCAGCCTCAGCCTGCATCAGCCTCAGCCTCAGCCTCAGCCTGCCTCAGCATCAGCCTGCCTCAGCCTCAGCCTCAGCCTGCCTCAGCCTCAGCCTCAGCCTGCTTCAGCCTCAGCCTCAGTCTGCCTTCAGCCTCGGCCTCAGCCTCAGCCTGCCTCAGCCTCAGCCTGCATCAGCCTCAGCCTCAGCCTCAGCCTGCCTCAGCATCAGCCTGCCTCAGTCTCAGCCTCAGCCTGCCTCAGCCTCAGCCTCAGCCTGCTTCAGCCTCAGCCTCAGTCTGCCTTCAGCCTCGGCCTCAGCCTCAGCCTGCCTCAGCCCCAGCCTACCTCAGCCTCAGCATCAGCCTGCCTCAGCATTCAACATGTGGCCCAGGAATGGAGTTCTGGGAACTCGAAGAAAACAAAGTGGCCTACTGTTGGCTCCGGGCATTCAAAATCATGCCCAGGAATGGAGTTCTGGGAACTCGAAGAACACGAAGTGGCCTACAGTGTGCTCTGGGCATTCAAAATCATGCCCAGGAATGGAGTTCTGGAAACTCGAAGACCACGAAGCGGCCTACAGTTGGCTCCGGGCATTCGAAATCATGCCCAGGAATGGAGTTCTGGGAACTTGAAGAACACGAAGTGGCCTACAGTTGACTCCGGGCATTCAAAATCATGCCCAGGAATGGAGTTCTGGGAACTCGAAGACTACGAAGTGCGTTACTGTTGGCTAAAAAAGGAATCCCCGGATTCCCGCGGCACCCGTCCGGCATCTGCCCAGACCCCCCTGGGGAGTCATGATGCTCTCTTTTGACCCCACTAGAAACCTATCAGTCTTCGCTGTTAGGTAATACTGAAAATATTTAAGAATAATCACAAAATCGTCTCCAGGGGTATTTTTGGACTGTTCCTCCTGTAGAGGGACACGCCCGACTGAAACCCTAGAGGCCTCCCACATGGGATCCGAGCAGATGGGGTCGGAGGATCGCGCTGCATCACCCCTGCATCGCCGATGGGTCGGACGTCGGCGACGCATCGGCGACGCCGACGTAGAGGAAGCCGAGCTCCAGCTCGAGGCTGTTTGGAGGGATTTGCATGCACGGCGGCCCAACACGTGGCCAGAGAGCAGCAAGACAACCCGAGAAGACGCAAAGACGGCAGCTCTCATGGTGGGCGGCGCACCGGAGCCAGGACCCTGAAACGAAACATTCCCAACAGGTGCTCGGACGAAGGCGAAGCGTTTTCAGCATGTGCCTCTCGCGTGAACGCCACATCCAGCCGCACCGCGGCCTCCGACCCCGCCTGCTGGGACCCGATAAGGGAGGTCTGGGCACCCACGGTCAGTAGAGGCTAAGTCCAGATGGAGAGCACTCTTTGCAGACTTACTCCACATGAACTCAGCAACCCATCAGGAGAGGCCGAGTCCAAGCGAGGTAAGCCCAGCTGGAGACCGAGCGCTACGTATGGACTCACTCCGTGTGGACTCGGCATCCTCCGACACGGCTTCGGCAACTTGGGCGTCGCTGCATGGGGGGCGATAAATGGGGGGGGGGGGGGGAGAAAGGTGCCTTCTCAGGCCCTGAACGCCCCCTTGGGGGCAGGGCCCGTTTCGCGCCCTCGCCTACCCCGCCCCCCTATGTCGCCCCCCCCCACGCGCCCCCCAGTCCTGGACCCTGGCCTTCCCCAGGGACCAGCTCGTGGAGAGAGGAGGAGAGGAGGAGGAGGAGGACGAGGAGGAGGAGGAGGAGGAGGAAGAGGAGGAGGAGGAGAGAGGAGAGAGGAGGAGAGGAGGAGGAGGAGGAGGAGGAGGAGGAGGAGAGGAGGAGGAGGAGAGAGGAGAGAGAGAGGAGGGGAGGAGGAGGAGGCGGAGGAGGAGGAGGAGGAGAGAGATGAGGAGGGAAGGAGGAAGGGGGAAGGGAGGGGGGAGGGAGGGAGGGAGGGAGGGAGGGAGGGAGGGAGGGAGGGAGGGAGGGAGGAGGAGGAGGAGGAGGAGGAGGAGGAGGAGGAGGAGGAGGAGAGAGGAGGAGGAGGGTTCGTCTTCGGACGGTCCAGGGCCCGTGGAGGCTCGGGAGCGCCCGCCTCCCTCTCGGCCCCCCCCTCGCGGCACGGCGGGGGCCGAGGGCCTCCGCCAAAAGGGCCCCCGCCGAGGGAGCCGCCGAGGGAGCGCCGCGACGCCCGGGACTCCGGCAGCAGCTCGTGGGAGCCTCCCGTACCATTGGGTCGGGGGATTTTGGACGAAAAATAAAAATAAATTTTTTAAAAAGCGGGGGGGTCCACGAGGGGGGGTCCAAGAAACCGGGGAGGGCAGCGGGGGGAGGAGGGACGTCGTCGTCATCGTCGTCCGTCGTTGACCCGGTCGTCGGTCGTCGTCGTCGTCGTCATCGTCCGTTCCCACACGCATCGGGAGCGCCCCGGATCGGCGGCACTGGCCGGAGGCCATTACAATAAAAATATCCAAAAAACACCCCACAATAGCCAAACATAATACAAACATAGTCCCCAGACTATGTGGTGACTGTTCCTCAAGATTCACCCCTGTAGAGGGACAGGCCAGACTTGAACGTACCATCCTGCCGGCTCTTGCGAATCGACCTAATCGGCACTGAATCGACGCGGGTCCCAGC